CGGAAAGATTGATAACGGCGACCCTTTTCTAGTTCATATTCTAACAACTTCATCATAAAATGATCACGTAAAAATTTTGTCCTAAACAGGAGCAGCAAAGAGAATATATCTCAGGGAAAAAGAAAACATTTTAAATTTGGCTTTCCGTTCTGTGAAAGGCGCGCCGCTGAACGAGGTTCAGTTCGGTAGGGCGGATGGAAAGTTTAAGAGGAAGAGAAGCCTGAGTCGTGCGCAAATTGAAGCTGGGATTAAGACGTCGGGCGAGATTAAGGTTTCCATGTTGATTAATTTAAATAGTTCCGCCGTCGCTCCGCGGAGAGACAAAAGCATACCCGTAACCGTAGCTGCGCCAAGCGGCTGGGGTATATAGGGAAAGGATGCATGGTAAACAACTTACTTTTCACAGTGCAGAAGCAACCCGGAGAATTAAGGAACGTAATACAGAGTTAAACGAAGCGCACTTGGGTGTCGACCTGCTTTACCTGTGAACTTGTTTGGATTGAGATGTACTTCTCTATTTTTTTCTGTCATTTACATCTAATCTAACATCTGTTTGGAAAATAGGAATTATTTTGATTATTAAACGAATAAGAAAAAATATATAAGAAAATCAATATCATAGAAAATCAGGCCACGGTGGAGGGATAAAAAAAAATGAAAAGAAGCGCACCATGTTTTGATAATCTTTGAGCAATAAATTTCTTCTGAGGTCTTATCAACGTTCACCATAATTCTACCATCATCTTGTACTGTAAAATACGCTGCTGATAGTTCGTGGAAAATGCAGCGAATTTTTGCGCTCCGTAAAAAGAAATTATTATGTGTATGTCGCTGTATTTGTTTAGTCTCTTAATATTGGCTAGTTTATGAAACTGACTTCAGATTTTTCATGTGTTTTTTTCACATGCTTTTCAAACATGCACAAATTAAAAATATTTTTAATATTAGAAAGAAGAAACATGATAAAACCGTACATTTCAAATTAAATAATTTTTTTATATAAAAGATATCATCTTGTAAACAAAAATGTTATGACAATTCAATAAATTGACTGTTTTTTAGATAACTGATATTGACAGTGTGAAATTTAATTATTTTAAATAATAGAAAGAGTATACTACCAAGCGCAGTTGTTGTAATATTTTTTGTGATGATACGTAATAGCTTATTTTTTTGCAGAAATCATAATATTAATACAACGATTCACAAAAATAAACTTGATATGATTTCAAAATTCGTTTTAAAAACGCATACTGTTAGAATATCAAAGAAACAATGGTAACCCAAACTTGAGTTAAATAACATTCTGTTATTTTCAATTCCAAAATGTGTCAAAATGTAAATCAATCCATTTCTGGTTATTTTCGACGTAAATAATGTTTATGTAATATACGCATTTAATAAATAATAAACTAAATTTGAGTCAAATTTAATACATTTTCTCAAGTTAAATTGTTTAACTCGTAATGTTTTAGTTAAATTAATGACATATTAAATAAGAGAATTGGCGTAGAGATGATTTAAAAAAACTTAAATTAAGTGAATTTGAATTTAACAGTGCAACGTCAATTTTTCGAGAGTGTCAACAGTGACTGCTATTTCGGTCGGTTTCATAAATGGAGACTGGTAGGAAAGATTGTAAGGCAAGAAAAGATAAAATGGAACGTCCAAATAAAAAGACAGGAAAGAAAATCTTTATCGCCGATCAAGTGTAGCGATTGCTTTTTTAATCACGTTGTTATAGTTAATAAGTGATAAATACCAAAGAAAAGCGATTGTCTTCTTTCGCGTATCATCTGAGATACGACAAAGACTGTATCCATTTAATCTGATTAAGAAAAAAGTAAAAAACGTATTACTTTCTTTGGTAGGTATAGGTATATAAATCAATATCAAGCTTCTGATGTACCATAAAAAGAGGAAAGATAAATTCATAAAGATAACAATTTAATAAATGTAATAATATTTCTATCAGATTTTTTTATTAACAATGAAATGCATCATCTTATTCCTAATCTTTATCATTTCGCAGAAATAGTACAAAAAAAAAATAAAAGCTGTCAGAATTTCTATATTTCTATAAAAGCTATATAAATTTTTATATTTTGAAAAGTTAAGACTAACAGATTGATAAATATTAATTTATACATTTCTATTAAGAATATAAAATTAACGTGTCCGTGTATTTTAACTGTTTTCCTAAAATCGTTGAAAGGACGCATAAATTTAGAAGCCATAAAAAAGAATTTCTTTGATTTTCCAAAATATCTAGTGCTATATACTTTGTACTGGGAAGTTGGCGGTTTTCTGTGAGCATGGAGCTATCGTGATCAGTGCTCTCGGCGGATTCGGTCGTTAGCAGTCTTTAGAAGGAAGTCGAGGGTAAGGCGTAACGGACGGACGAAGAGTAAAAGGAAGGATGGAACGGGGGAGGAAACTCTCTTTCGCTCTCTCGGACAAGGGCCGCGCGTGTTCTTTTAGCCGCGTTGCCTCAGCAACAGAGTACCTTCCGTCTCGCTGACCTGCTGTTTCCGGTGACACCGATGGTCTTTCCTTTTCTCGTCATTTTGCCGAGACCAGCGAGCTTTTCCGAAGAGAAAAAAAGTATACAATCAACTGCGGGAAAGTGTTAAGGGTCGATGCGATTATCGTTCAAAAGTAACGGTATCTCAGAATTTTCTATTTCTGTTATCAGTTTCGGCGACTGTAATGATTTCATATCCTTTATGATTAAGGAGATCACGTGATCATCGTTAGTAGATCGCTGCGGCAAATTGCGCGATGATATGTCAATAGAATGTCTTGTACGTATACCTCGTACCGAGGTTGAATTATCAAACAAACGAGCTTTACATGATGGTAACAATGTTGTCTTATACCCGGGTACTTTGCCGATAGATAGGATTCAAAATAGAGACGCTATCGTGCGGCATAACTATAGAATGAGATCGATATTCCTGAGCCGAGTTCAAGATCCTCGAGAAAAGATCGACGAACTCGCGTGGCTACCTATGAATGCGTAATGCGAAGCAAGAATCCCATGTCAATTACTGTAATAGTTAATTAATATTATGTAAAACTATATACGAGACAGATATTCGTTCGAATCGCTACATTGTACAGATTCCTAATTCGAGAGAATTTAGTAAATTAAGCATGATAGAGAACGCATTAATAATTTCATCGTGGGAGCCTCTTAACACTGGCACGCGATTGGGTAATTCAAGGCTCGAGTGATGTTTCATAAAATATCGATATTACTTTATTATTCATATCGTGTATATGTGATGTAGGTATATATTTTTCAAATCTTTATACACATAATGAACTATCGAAATAATACTTTTTCTAAAAATATATAATACGTATAACTGATGCGACTATTTCTAAATTGTGTATTCTTTTTTCAAAAACTTAATTACAGATAAGAACATTTTTCGCATCTATAAAATTATGCAAAATAAAATCTCAATAAGAGAGAGATATCAGCCATATTATATGGCGGAGTAGCTCAGAAGCATTCCGCGTGCAAGCGATGAAATATGAATTGCGGCACGTAGTAGGCCATTAGCTGCTTGAGAAAAGAAAGTAGGAGGAATGCTGAGGGACGGTAATGAGGTAGAATAAAGAGCGAACTAATTCGAAATTTCGTGCGCGTCACCGACGGCGATCGACCGGCACGCCTGGCGCGAGAAGGGACGGAGGAGCGAAATGGAAATGTCGGGACGGGGCCTGTTCAACATTCTAAATATTTTAAAAGTTCAACTCATTTGAATTGGAACATCTTTAGACGTGTCTCTTTCTCTACCTCCCCTGCTCTTTCTCAACTGCCTCCCATCGGTTGGATCGTCGCGGAGTTCTCTGTACTTATCGCGCTTTCCACTGCGCTTTCGGCCGTCTTCTCTTCCCGACCGATTGATTTAGGATTCTCGAAACTTTTCGCACTCGAGTTTTGTAGCAGAGATATTCTTCATGACCACAGAGAAAACGGTGTTCGGCTCGTTCATTCGCTTAAACCCATTATGCATAAAATCCATTATCGAGTACGGAATGTGTGTTTGTACTTTATATTTATATAACGCCAAACGTTAAAAATATTTGAAATAATTTTGGAAAATATTTTGAAAATAATTTTGATGTTTGTTTTTGTAAAAATCATGCATTTGATTTCTATCTTTCAGTGCCACTCTAACGACTAACTTTCTTTTTCCAATGTTTTTCCACAGCTTTTTCCATTACTTATAACTATTTTATTATTAAAGATACATTTGCTTGGTATTGTTATATTCCCCTTAACGTCTGATGCTCGAAAAAATAATTTTTTACAATATGTTTACAAAAAAAAAAATGATTTTGTTGAAAGATTTAAATTTTTTGCTGGATATACAGACTTAAAAATAATTTTACTGAACCATGAAAATAATTTTGTTGGAAACTCAAATTGGAATATTAAATTTTTTGCAGCATTACTCATCATTTATTAGTTTCCAACATAAGTATTTTCAAGTTTGTATTCAGAAAAATTTCAGATCTTTTAATAAAAACCATTCTTTCTGTAATCATTTTTATAAAAAGTACAAACAATCAATTTACCATGTACCAAATGTATTGTTCCCATAGTGTGGCACCGAATGATTAATCACGTAAAATCATTGTTTACGCAACGATAATGAAATTTGCGAGGCGCGATGATGGTTGAAAACCATCGAACGTCACGATGTATTCACAGTTTCAGAACAAATCAGTCGCGGGCCATCGATTCTTTGTAGCTGCTAGGGCTTAATTCAGTCGCGTAAAGCCCAGCCACCAGGTAAAACCGATAAGGCTGACCGATTTGCTGCCCCTAGCGAAAAATCCGCTTACTCGTTCGAGCCCTTGCGAGAATCTATGTTATTCCGGTTGGAATATGGATGTGTCACATTTGCGAGTCGCACGAGAAACGACGTCGCACATTCGCGTATACGGATTGGCGAAATTCGCGGGGAGGCGTACTAACTCACCTGGTCACGGTTGGCGTGGAAGCGACCCCCGGGGATCGTGCTGGATAACTCCGTGGACTTCCTGACATCAAGTACTCTGCAACACACAGCGAAACGTTTGTCCTTAATGCTCTGCTGCATAAAGTCACACTCGACGATCGAGTAACGCATTCGTCTTGCACCGGTTAACGGCGATACAAACGCCGTTTCTGAACTATCAACCGCGAGTAATCGCGAAGTGCGATTACAAATATTTGCTAACATTTGCTGACCAGTGCCGATGTAACAATTCTATCCAAGACACATTAAAGGTCGCAACAATTATAATTTTAATAATTCTCATCGTCATTTAATTTCAACAAACAGATAATTAGCATTAAATTATGTTCTTCGATTAATCCAACGGTAATGTTAGATATTCCCCTACATCATTCTGCTCTAAAGTATAATGTAGCACGAACGCGGAGATTCTTCGATACATTCCGAGCGTGTTCCAATTTTCTGTGCATTTGATTCATGGCTGTTGTATACTGCGGCATTTCGCTGAAACATATGCCGCCGTAACTACTGCTTAATTACTTAGACAGGTAACAGGATCTGCGGCGGACGCAGATATTCCTCTACTCTCAGCAACTTGACCTGTGTCATGCGACGAGATAATTGAGTTTATTAAACGCAAGTTGTTCTCGTATTCGCGCAAGTGCTTTAACCCTGTTTCGAGTATAGTGCCCGCGGAATTATTTAAATGGAACGATCAAAACGGATGCGTGCTTACATTGTTTCTAATTATGGCTTAGATTTCTACATGCTCTGGAAATAATCAAATAATCATGGTTCAGCAAAGAAAACTGGATCAGTGAATGCTCAGTGATCAGTTTTCTTTCTACTGAACGTAGCCAATATAATATAAAAATAGGAAAACTGAAGATCACATTGATAGAATTGACAAGACATTTTAATTAATCGAAAATGTCTTGGGTTTGTGTTGAAGATGTGCGGATTTAAGCCAACAGGCAAATCAGAATAGTGATAAGTGCAATCGTCGAAGCGAATTCGTAGAGGTCCAGGGTATCAACGAGTAGCGACGCGCGCGCATGCATAATTAATTTTCAAACTTTCTTTCCTGCCCGATGGCAGGCTGACGTTGCCATTCGATTTAACCTTCGTTCGTCGTGCGTGGTCTCCGGTCTGTCGGTTCGTAGCGTCATGCATATTCTAGTTGATGGGTCGTCGCGAGCTGCCTTCCTTTTATCTGTATAGTTAATGCGTTCATGACTAATGTAACCGTCAGTGACGTCCTGCTATCGACCGCATTCGTCTGATGCTCGCCTTGGTCACCATCACAAGATCGCTAAATCTCTTTATCGAATAATGCTTAATATTTTCTGTCCATAAATGTCATCGACGTCGAATTCTTCCGGAACATTTAACTGTAGTATACTTATATGTAGCGTTTTTATTGTGTATATTTAATTTTTTTTTACATACGTGAAGGATTTACAGAGATATCTCTTCCCATTGATAACTCCACACAAAGATAACCACCGGATTGTATTCTGTCTTTTAACAGAAACGATAACAAGCTCTTTTTTTCGAACAATTGTAACTCAAAACAGTCAAAACGAATATCTTTATTGAAAGAGAGATTTTCACATAACGCGAAAATTGGCTGTTGAATCAATAACGAGGCTGAATATAATGGGAGTTAGCGAGTGAGTCTAGAGAAAGCGGTTACAAAAAAAAAATAACAAGGATAGTTTGTTCGTTCGTTTACTTTGATATACTGACGCTACATCGGTTTTGGCCCATAAGGTTCTTCTAACCACCGCTTTCACCCTCTTATTTCTGCAGCAATTTGTCACTGTCTACGTCCCGAGGATCTTTACTTTATACGCTGGATTCTAAGTATAACTCACTACGCACTGATAAGTAACATCATTATATTATATTGTTTTATATCGATTTTTGTGTTTATATATTTATAGCAAAATGTTAGCATGAATCTTTTTCAATGTACAATAAATTTTTATTTAAATTCTACAATTATTTACACTGAGAGAAAAAAAGGTTGCAATTATCACAATTTAACTATAATTTATTTAGTCATTTTTTGATACATAATCGTATATTTATAGTTTTAACTATGTAAATGCCGTTAATTGTGCTATTAATAATAGTCATATCATGCTTAAAAATTTTTAGTTTTTTAAAAAAATATATTTCTTATTATTACATAAATAGTGTGGATTTAAGAAAATATATTCACTATAAATGCGATTGCATTTACTGAATAAAAATATTTATTTTATTTATCATTTATATATCCTGATATTTCACTACATTAATATTTAAAATTACCATAACTTATTAGTACAATTTTCTCTCACGTTTAAGAGAACTACATATTTGTATATATATATATTAGGTGTTGGAATTAATTCGTAGCGTTTTACAAGTGATGGGAAGTACTTTCATTAATGTATTTTTTAATGCTCATGTGAAATAAATAACATTCTTTCATTAAAAAACGCTACGAATTAATTCCAACACCTAATATATATTATATATATGTGATTATTATTACATTATAAGAGTAATAATCATAAAAATGGAGCTAATTATTTTACGAGGCAATTATAGTCATAAATATCAAGCATTTTTCTTTTAATGTAAACTACGACGATGACGCGACGATTCGTTTGACATACAAAAGTGGTAAAGCGTTCCGCTGCCGATTATTAACACCACCAATTCAAACTGAACCTTAGACCGAGTTTACTACCGAAACCTGCGAAATGGGATCGTTATGTCATTGACACGGCCTTGCCATTCGTCACTCGCAAGCTCAAAGGCTCACTTGCAACACACAGGATGTAACGTTTCCTTTGTAATTCTGAGCATAAATTGGCGCGTGTCAGATGCGAATGAGTCGATTCTGAACTGCGCGCGCGTTCGTTGGTGGATAGGTTTAGGTATAGAAACCTCTATCGGCCGGAGAGAGTCCTGACAGCTGGGAGCACAAAGCGACGGGTTCATTCTCGCAGGGCGAGAGGTTGGTTGCCAGGCTGCCGAGGCTTAGCAGCCATGTCGGCTACCGTTTGTTTCGTCCGGTAGTCATGGTGATAACACGGAGAAGGTGGGCGCAACTGATCGAGGGTTCTCCGATATCTCGCATATTTTCTATCAGCCACCCTCTCGGCGAAAGCGACGCTCCTGGCTCGCTGGACCACCCCATCGAGAATATTAACGCCCACGAAGGGATGCGTCGCATGCCTCTATCGGAGTACTTTTGGAAAAAATAAGCTGTGTCGAGTTGCACACAAACGCGAATGAAATGAACATATCTATTGATAATTGAAATGAGAGTAAGTCACTATTGTGTAAGGATTTGCTGTATTTTCATATTGACTTTCCTAAGACAATAATTCTTCTTTTGTAAGTGCGCTGATAACGACGTAAGAATTTCTTTTTATCGTGAGAAAAATGAAGTTAGTTGACTGTCTTTTAAACACGCCTTTTTAGCGTATGACATATCCGATTCTCTTTTTTCAATGTTTTTTCCATTACAACGTTTATAATTTTTTTTGTTAAAAATACTTATGTTCGCTTGGTATTGTTATGTTTCTTAATATTGGGTTCAATTTTTGGAAAAAAATTATTTACAATATAAAAAAATGTCACTTTTCAAGATTATTAAAGATATTCTACAAGCGCGATTAAAAATAATCATTCATGAAATAAAACGATTTATATAAAATCAATATTGCAAAGAAGTTGCGAATTTCTTCAATTTTTCTTCTATTATTATATATAAACTTTTTATATATCTTCATGCGGAACGCAAAAATTTGTGCGTAAGCTAAATATTCTTGTCGACGGAGCTCGACGAACGATGCGATCAAATTGGTAATGAGCGATCATTATTGTGTAGCGATCCTTATAAGAGATATTTCAATTCCTCTTTTACAGTCGCTCCAAAGATACTTCCGAAGTCTTCCTTCATTAGTATTTGTTTCGGCTGATTTTAGAAAAATTCTCTTCAATACGAGTCGCTCGTCAGAAGGAAACGATCGATTACGTTCTATCTGCGGGAACTAAAGTCTGGCCGACCCATCTTTCGTTCGAAAAAGTGTCATTATCTGCTAATGGCACAGCAGCAACTAGGTCGATGCGCTTGGTCGGTTAATGACGTGACTTTCGCATTTTGCCGATGGACTGTACCGATTTTATCTACGTGCTCCGATTTTACCTGATGTCCTCTCGAAGATTCGCGAGCGTCGTAACCACCCCCCTCCCTTCCCCGAACAACAGTTATTTAAGGGTTAAGTTAGTTTTTATTGCTGTGCCGTATTCTTATCATGTTGCTTCTTTACTTTCGAGAATCCATTCGCTGCAAGACAAAATATCTCCGGGATCTACGTAAGAGACAAGCCCATGCGAAATCTTTTCGTGTAAGAACATTGCCGACCCAAATACGTCGCCGTCAGAACGTCATCAAAGAGAAACGAACATTATCGCGGTTACGATAATTAGACTGGAAATTACGTAAGCGGAATTAGGTAAGAAAAGTAAATCCCATCGCGATAATCTTTTCCAGGACTCGGGATGGTGACAGAGCATGCCGACTACTAGCTCGAGAACGTTAGCTGATCTGTTCTTTATTTAATCACTGCCCACGACTGTCTTAATGAAGACGAACAATGTTCCAAATGGAAAACTAGACGTCGAATAGGGACGATCGAACAAGATTGTCAGGGCTGAAAACGTCGCTGAATTCGGGAAAGACAATGAAAGACAAGAGTGATAACGAAAGTGATAAGGAAAGTGATAGCGCGGGAGTGACAGGGTGTAGTTAGAACGACAGCCGAAAAGGTGATCGTAGAAAGGGTAGAAACATAGTTAGAAAATGGAATTTGAGAATGAGTCGAAGTGAGGCTAGGCGAGGCGAGACGAGAAGAGGGTAAGGGCGAAAGGCACGTAAAGACAAGAGAAAAAGATCAGAGATAGGTACATAAGTCCCTGGATGGAGTAGATACAGTTGAGTCTGAGGGTTTCTTGGTTGTTGGGTGTTTGGCTGTCGGCCAGGGAATCTCCGGA